AAAAAGAAGGGGGGTCGTATAGAGTCGACTAAAATCCCCAACCAATGATGTGCCCTGAATGTGCCCCAGCTCTCTCAGTTAAGCACCCTCTGACACGACAATGTCATGTCATGCTGTTAGGTGTGAGGGAGCAGCAGAAGGGATGCTTTGGAGTTGACCTGACTGAACTATGCTGGCCAGTTCTTCCACAAAAAACCTTTTGTCGAGCGGAGCGGGAAGGAGGATAACTACGGAAGAAATGCTAGTTTCAATTAAGGGAAAAAGTTGTTGTTATGCGCGATCCATAAAAATCCACAAGGGCAGGAATGACGCTCTCCCTACGCTGAGTGTCTCCTAGGGCACTTGGAACGGGAAATAGCGGCTATCAAAAAAATGTTTAGGCCAGTTACGACTCCCGCTGTGGCTTCCCCAGTGTGCGACATGCCCTGATGTTGTCTCATTTCACTATGTGTCTATGAGTGGGTGCAGACAAGACGACGTGGCTCAACCCCATTGGAAAGTAGTCCCTGTGAGTGGCACAGGTGAAGGGGTCCCCTAGAGGAAAAATCACTATTGAAGCCATCCTTAGCGCTCCTTGACGCACATAACAAACTTTTCTCCTTCGCTTCTTGAATGAATGGGGGTGGAAGGCTGTTTCCATTCACACAGTTCATTCAAGCTCATGAAAATGCAAAGAAAACGTTTTTGCTCGAGAAACGTGACGAGCCTTTCCATATGGTTCAAACTGATAAGACCTGGGGCGCTTTCGGGAGCGTTTTCTCCAGTTCCCTACATAGTTTGTTTAACTAGCTCCTGCTAACCCGCTTCACGTTGCTGCTAAGCAACCTATTAAAAATCCTTCTTTTGCAAGAAAGGAATCCCCCGGAACATTTAAGCATGCTGTGCGGTTCATTATCAACGGACTGACGGCTTTGCAACGTTCGCTTCATGGTCTACAGACAAATTTGATAAGGCGAAGGGACCTACATTCCATCGAAAAATTCTCGCACGTTTCTTAAAAAATAAATGGAAAATTTTGATAACGGAGCACACAGCCATGCCGAGAAGCGCTCCAATCGAATTTTCACCTTCTATCGGAACCATTAGCACCCAAGCTCCCACATGAATCTAAAAGAAACTAAACGTCATGGAAAGAGCTGCCAAGAAGAAAGAAGGTGTACGGGTTCAAACCCACGCTTGGTCGGTGCTCTTGTTCAGTGTTTCCCTTTTGGAATTGGAAACGATGTGCATGCCCTGCCGTTGGGGAAAATTTTTGCAAAATGCGACCTACACCCAAAACTTCCTCTGGACTGCTCCATCGCCATGCCCCATCTTATCTACCATCTTCCCACATTTTCCTAACTTCAAACCACTTTCCGGAGTTTAGTTTTCGAAAGCTGCTCCTTCCCTACGGAAACTGTCGTCCAGCCAGGTCTAGCGCACTCGAATGAGGAGAAACTGAGATAAATCAAGAACCAAAAACATTTCCCCGAGGGCAACTTCCCCCTCCCCCTTCCCAATCGGTGGGGATATTAACGTATGACATGCCCTGAGTGGCGAGCGGCATTGTTACCACTCAGAGCATGTCGTAAGCATGCCACTTGCCGTCAGCAAGTCAAATTCCTGATCGCTCCTGCCGAACCGACCAAGCTTTTGAGCCTCCTGCTCCGAAGAAACGGTAAATTGGTGTAGATTCATCTGTCAGG